GAGACCAGAAACCATCCTTCAGGGTGATTTGCAGCAACATTCCATAAACTTTACTATGTACAGGACGAATCTCCTTGGGGATCTTGGTAAAATGTAGAAACGATTTCCCAATGTCTGGGTTGAGATTTGAATTTTTCTCTTTTTTTTTGGGAGAGGTTTATGCTACGGGGCGCGTGCGCTCGCCAGAAAGACAGAGAGAGACAGAGAGACTGAAAGCGAGAAGTCGCCCCCCAGGGAAAGATGTGGGTGCAGATCCAGACTGGCTTCATCCACAGCTCAGGTTCTTTTTCCCACAGCATCCAGCTTTGATGTGTTGTTTGAGTGAATAAGTGAGCTTCCAACTGTAAAACCCATGAAGAAGGAGAAAAGGTGCACCCCTGCAGGCTCCTCTCCCTTGGGCATGCATGCAAATGCACGCGGCGCAAGTTTAAGCCACCAGGTCTGGGACTCGAACTGCGGTTGACTACATGGGAGTCCAGCGCCATAGCCATTATGCCAACTGCTGGTCCCAACAATTACTATTAACAACAGGTATCATTTATTTATTTTGGACCTACCATATGCCAGGCATTACGCATACTGTATCTTGCTTTGGGGCTTATAAAACCATTAAGGTACACAGTTCAGTCTTATTTCTCAGGTGAGCAAACTGAGACTTAGAAATCTGTCTAAGTCATTTGTCTAAAAATCTATGATCTGCAAGGGAAAGATGTGGGTGCAGATCCAGACTGGCTTCATCCACAGCTCAGGTTCTTTTTCCCACAGCATCCAGCTTTGATGTGTTGTTTGAGTGAATAAGTGAGCTTCCAACTGTAAAACTCCCATGGTTGACTACATGGGAGTTCAGTGACAGCCATTACGCCAACTGCTGGTCCCAGAGTTTGTGTTTCTAATAAGCCTCCAGGAGATTTTGATGCTGGTGAGTGGAGGATGTAGACAACCCTCCCCAGAGGACCCCAGTTTGTCATTAGTAGTTCACTTGTTCATTCTCACTGGCCCTTTGTCTTTGAGTAGGGGAGCATCTTACTCACCTTTGACTCCCCAGTGCTAAGTATACTGCCTGGCACGGAGCAGTTGGTTAAGGTCTAATTCCTAAGTAAACGAAGGAGTGAATGAGTGGACACGTGAGCCCTGGGAAGCTATCCAGTCAGCATTTAAGTTCTACCAAGAGACTCAGCCTGGCTAAGGGGCTAGGAATGTCTGCTACACCAGGCTGGGGAAGGGGCGTGTCCGGGACCTCCCAGCTGCAAGGGGCCTACCATGATGGGGAAACAGCTGTCTTCCTGGATACAGTGCTCATCACACTGGGATTTGGAGTACTTGCTGATTCCCAGGTCCCTTTCAGGGACGAAGTCCAGGTCATGGTCCACAAATTGGCCCCACTGCATGACGAGCAGGGACCTCTTTTGGTCCAGAACACCCTCCTCCTTCAGATAGCCAGCAATCTTGTTGGATACCTCCCGGGCCTACATAAGGGGAGGGTGGATTGGAAAGAAAAGTGCTTTGAGGATCTAGAGTCAAGTACATTTTTTCACGTACCTACGAGGTGCTTTGAGGATCTAGAGTCAAGTACATTTTTTTCACGTACCTACAACAGATCCCCATGAGGAGCTCGTGAGGTGCGCAGCAGTATGCCATTTTGTAGGTGAGACTAAATCCTCCAGAGGTGAAGTCAGTTCTTCAAGGCCCTGCAGCTACCAAAGGGCAGAGATGGGATTGAACCCAGGTCTGGATGACTTGAGGACTTGCAAGGCCAGCCCCTCTCCACAGTGGAGAAGGAAAACAAAGACAGGAGGCCCGGAAGTGCGTGCCACGGAGGTGCCAGGTGTCTGGGAAAGGGAGAGGAACTCCGGGTAGGGGCTGCCAACTCGGATGAGGCTAACCGATGGGCCCTCCGGACCGACAGCTGATGCACTCCCGGGGTTGGGCAGGGGTAAGCGCGAGCACGATGGGGGTAGGGAGGCCATCTGCCTAGGAGACCCCAGGGTATCTGGCGGTGGAGCCCCGGACGTGGTCAGCACTTGGCAGGGCTGCCGGCTCCGACCTCTGTTCTGCTGCCCTCTGGTGGCGTCCTGGGGAACGTCGCCAGAGAGCCAATCCGAATCTCCCTCTCTCTCCTGCTATGGCTCCACCGCGTCCGCCCCATCCTCAGGGTGGGTCCCTTCCCCTCGGTCTCCCATCCTTCACCCCCACGCCTGGGGGCTCTCCCCCTCCCCCAGCCTGCCCTCACCAGAGGGACTGGAAAGCCGTTGCGCGTCTTCCCCGGCGTCCACCCAAAGGGGAGGGAGAACCCGTCCTCGTATTCGGCCGGCAGCCAGCGCGCCAGCGCCCGGTTGGCAGCGCCCAGCGCAGGGTTCCTCCTGGAACCCAGAGACACCCACTCAGCCAAAAAAGTCTGCCGGGGTGCTGCGCGCGGAGCCCCTCCTGGCCTGACGTTCCAAAGCACCGGGCACCGGGAGGGAAGGAGCCGGGAGCGTCGGACCAGGAGAGCCGACGTGAAGGAGGTGCCCGTGGAATGCGGGGTTTCCGAACGCCCCCTTCCCCTCCAAGGCGCGGGGCTCCTCTACCCTGGACAAAGGGCAGAGGGAGACACAGTGGGCCCGGGGAGGCCGCTGGGTCTCTAGAAGGTGGGGAACTCGGGGACACAAGTCAGGAGGGTCAGCCCAAGTGGCTGCCTGGGATGCCGGAGGGTAACGCCCTTGGTTGCGCTGGGCGGCGGCTGGGCAGGGCGACCCCCACACCCACCCATGCCGGGCCACCTGTTATTGCAGGCTCCTGAAATGGTGCGGTAAGGGCTGTTCGTGTCGCATTTCAGCACGGTAGCACGGGTATTGCAACCCACTTCTCCAGACAGCTGAGTCAAGTCCAGGCTGGCCTCTGAAATAGAATGGGCCGCAAGGGGGCCCAAATTCTTTCTCCATGCTCAGGCATCGGGGAAGCAGAAAATGGAAACAAGGGCGAAGTGACATTCCTTTGGAATACATTAGTTTTCTAAGTGAGCACTTCTCAGGGGCTTTCTCATTTCATCCTGACCACTCATTAAGGTAAGAATGTATATTCCCATTTTACAGAAAAGAAACTGAGACCTCAGTTCTCAAAAGAGACTTGCCCCAGGCTGCACTGAAACACATTGGGAATGTCCTAGGAGTTGCCAGTATTATTTGTCTAACAGGTCAAAATTCATCTGAACCAACAAATCTTTCTTGTAGAATCAAAGTACCCCTGGGAAGTTAAGCACATGTTAGTATAAGTTCATTTGATAAGATTGCTTTTTATCGGAAGCTTTGAGAACATCAAAAGTACAAGCAAGCAAAAATACAGAGAGGAAAGAAGCTGGGAAGGGACAGGGTTTTTTTTGTTTGTTTGTTTTAGCCATAAGATGTGTGTGTTCATGATAGACAGAGAGAGGAAAAGTGAGGAATCACCCCTCCAGGAAAGATGGCCACTCTGCAATCCCTTCTCCTTCAGTCTCAGGATTTGGGACATGCACGTACATGTGCCCGGCACAGTTTTCAAGCTGTCGGTCTGGGACTTGAATCATGGTTGGCCATATGGGAATCCAACGCCTTAACCACCATAGCACCTGCTGGCCCCCAGACAGGTCATTTTAAAGTGAGGGGCAGAATGGACTTGGGAGGAGTAATGGAGCAGAGACCTTAGGCATCAGAAGGTTTGACGTGGGCAGAAAACGGAGAGAGCTGCCAACTTCCCAAGGCCACCCTGGTTCATCCTGGTGTCTGCAGTGAGACAGAGATGAGTCTCTGCAGGCTTTATAAGGGGAGCCATCTGTGGCAGTGAGCAGGGGCTGGGGTTCACCCTCAGCACCTCGGAGTCTCAGAGTCCAAAGTACTCCCACCTTGTCCCAATTTCCTTCTTTTGGAGCCTTGAGCAGGCACCCTCCCTTATTCCATGTTGTTCCAGGGAAAAGCTGGCATTTGGTGGGAATGGGAACAGAGGGCTAGGGGAGATCATGGAACCTGTAAATTCTTTTTCTCAGCTCCACATTCTCCAGAGCAAGATGGAAATCTCATCTCCTGTGACATAATCCCAGTAAATCCCCCTGACATGGGTGGCTTAACTGTCCCCTCCACTGGAGGAAGTGGTGACACTGTGGTTTGGGACAGGGAACCCATGTTTATTGACCTTAGCACTTCCCCTGGGCAGAGACTTACCTATGGTCTTGCACAAAGAGCACCAATGTTCCCTCATGGGGAGTTGGTAATGGCACCTTGCTAGGCCCGAGCACCTTCATCTGATGAAAAAGCATGACCTTATCTGCCCCCGACCACTCCTTGCTCTGCCAATCTGGTCTAGGGGTCTAAAAGAGAGTCCCCAATAAGAAATGCCACTTATAGCGGCCTTGGCTCAATCCTGCTGGGAGATGACCTCTTCCTGCCATCAGAGGGCTAGTGGGTTTTCTGTACCTGTGACATTGGTCAAGGCTGTGCTCTGACTCAGTCTCCTTAGGGACTCCTCCCACACCTGCCCGTTGCGGATGGCTGTGCGCGTCTGGCCTTTGGAATGCTTGAGGTATTCTGAGAGATGCCGGGTGGTAGGACTCTCAGTGCTCAGGGCGGTCTTCAGCCTATAGTGGAGGGCAAGGTGGGCAGTGGTCACAACCTAGACCCCACAGAAGGGAGCTGGCGTCCCAGCGGAGGGGCATGAGATGGTGTGTACATAGGGAGGAGCCATGGCCAGTGTATGCTCAGAGGGGCAAACACTTCTGCCTCAGGATCTTTTCCTCTTTTTCTAATGCCTCTAGCAAATCTTTTCTGGGAGGAGGACGCTACAGTGGGTAGTTAAACTTTGTTAGTTCTGGTTCTGAGGGAAAGCGGGTGGAGGGATGTGGAAAGAGCAGTCTCTGAATGCCAGCTGGGACTGCAGTTGAGCAGGCTGCATATAAATCAGCTGGGGAACTTCAAAGCCATGCAGGTCCCGGGAGTTAATGATTCAGACTCAAGAACCCCTGATGTGTAGTTGGCATCTCGCCGAGACTTCAGCACTGAGGGTTCCAGGGATAATAAGCTAGTTATGGGCTTCTAGTTCTGCTCTTGGACACATTTTTCATTGCTTCTAACCCTAGAACTAGTATGGAGTTTATTTAGATGTGGCCTGGAACAACCAACCTATGGCTAAACATCTTGGGAAAGACATTCAGTCATTTTCTTCCTTAATTTCCCATGTGTAAGAGAAGAAACCAAAAACCCTTCCACAAAGAAGTGTATGGTGGGACCAGCAGGTGGTGGGGTGGTTAGAATGCTGGATTCCCACATGGTCGACCGTGGTGCAAGACCCAGACCTGGTGGCTTGAAAATCACAAGGGCAAGGTGTTGAGGGAAAGTGGGTGGAGGGATGTGGAAAGAGCAATTTCTGAATGCCAGCTGGGATTGCAGCTGAGAACTGGAAATGACAATTATTTTACAGCAGAGACTTATGTATGGATTTTGGGACAGATTGACTGGGATCGTTTCCTGACTGCTACTTACTTGTTATGTGCCTTTGGACAAGTTTCTCCATTTCTCTGTACTTTATGGGTAAAATGAGGCTAATGATAGTAACCTCAGATTAAACCATTCTATTTGACTTTTTTAAAAGAGTTTTTGCTATAGGGTGTTTGCACTCGCCAGAGAGACAGAGAGATGAAAAGCGAGAAATCACCCCCAGGGGAATGGCCATGCCACAATCCTTTCTCCTCCATTCTCCTCTTGGGATTTTGAGCACATATGCACACGTGCCTGGTGTGAGTTTTAAGCCGCCGGGTCTGGGACTCGAACTGCGATCAATTACATGGGAGTCCAGCAACATAACCATTATGTCATCTGTGGGTCCCTTTTACAAAAATCTTAACAAGAGCTATTCTAGAGCCCAAGTGGTGGTGCAACAGTAACACAACTGGACATGAGTGAGAAAGATCCTGGGTTCGTATCCTGAGAGAACTCCTTTAATAAGTCACCTGATTATGAATCTAGATCTTGAGTTCTGCTTCTAGTGAACCTGACCCAAGTGAGTCAATATTAGTAGGATGAACAAAGAACTTCTACCTAGAGACTTTCTGAGACTCTGGAATGCATGACCCAAGGAAACATCGGGCCACATGTGTGAGAGAACGTCCTTAAGAATGATTGGGTAGTCAGAAAAGTCATGACACATTTTTGCATAGAAAAGCATGACTTTTCTGACAACCTAATAGATTAGATGTCCTCTTCCAGGGTTCCTTACAGGATGAAGATTTTAGGAGTTGTAGGCTACCTCTCCTACTTGCCACATACTTGTGGGGTGGGTTGAAGTGTAAGTTCTATACTTGCTTTGGCTCATTGGCTCTTCAGGATGGGCCTATAGATGCTGTTCATGAACAGGAAGTCTGTGAAGGGAAGTGTGTGTGTATGTGTGTGAGTGTGCATGTGCGCATATGTGTCACGTACCTGATTCGAGATTCCAGGAAGGCCTTGTTGACTTGGGCCTTGACTTGCCTCACAACCTCAGAGAAGGCTTCGGTCGTGGTTGTCTGTGCTTGGGGGTGAAGGAAGCAGGAAGCAAGGTATCAAGTACCACTCCTTTGAGAAACCTGTTTCTGACTCTCTCTTTCCCCATCCCTCAAACCTGAGCAGGCAGGATATGAAGATTAGGAAACTTTCACGTGAGTTCGTAAGAGAAAAGAAATACTCTTGATCTTCAATAAGATGTCAAAATCGCTCTTCAGGATTCTCTAGAGTACTCAGCAATGTATTTAAGAAGGAGTGTGACCATTCAGGTTGGCTCGCCTACTGGACTTTGGGCATGTTTCTGGTTCCTGGTGAGACTGTCCCATGGACCCTTAAGCAAGTCCATCAAAGGACTTACCATGAGGGCCAAGGTGGATTTTCACTTATATGGTCTCTGGAGGGGAAAAGAATATGTTCTCTGAACGAGGAGAGTATAGTGAGCTAAATAGTGTCCTTCCCAAATTTTATGTCCCCATGGAGCCTCAACATAAGTTTACTTGGAAATAAAGATGTAATTAATCAAGATGAGGTCACACTGTGTTAGGGTGATCCCTAAAATGGAGGAGGAGAGGACACACAGAGAAGAAGGCTGAGACTGAGACTGAGACGGAGACTGAGGTGCTGCAGCTACAAGCCAAGGACAGCAAGGATCCCAGGAGCCATTGGAACTTGGAAGAGGCCAGAAAGGAGTCTCCTCTAGAGACTTGGTGGGAGCAGGGCCTGTGCTAAAGGCTTGATTTGGGGTGTCTAGCCTCTTAGACTGTGAGATTTACTGTCATAAGTCATGTAGTTTGTGGTGCTTTGTTACGACAGCCTCAGAAAACAAATACGGGAAGACACTTACCACCTGTGGCAGACACGGCAACCTGGAGCAAGATCAGGGAAGTCAGGAGGACTGGGAGGTGGAGAAGGATCCTCATCACTGAAACAAGACCCAGACTCAGGCCGTAAGCCTCACTAGGGCTTCAATGAGCAGGGCTGACTCACGGAAAGCAAAGAAAGACCAAGGAACACCAGGTGCGCTAACACTGGATCAGGGAAGGGAAACCATGCCCATTATCCATCTACCATATGCATAGGCCCCTGCTAGGTGCTGGGAGAGACGGACAAAGGCAATGGTGGAAGGGAAAGAAACCAGGCTTCGTTGTCTGGAGGTCTCAGCTGTAGCTCTGTTTTTGTTCCAACTAGCTCTGTGACCTTGGGAAGGTTATTGAACATCCTTAGGCTTCCGGGCTGCTGAATGAGAGGGTGGGACCAAGTGATTGAGGACCCCCCGATTCTGCCCTGACAGCCTGTGATCCTGTGGCTTGTGCCCATCTTATCAAGGTGTGAGAAGTGCTGTTACACAACCTGGAACAGTTCCCCTCCCTCCGTCCCCTCAGGGTACTTTGCTACCTGCAAGACAATCTCCTGTGGCCCAGCACCAAGGGAAACAGCCAAGAAACAGATCTTATTTCTCTTTTCAGAAAACTGGCAGGGGTGGGAACCAGCAGTTAGCGTAATGGCTATGTCGCTGGACTCCCACATAGTTGACCGTGGTTCGCGTCCCAGACCCGGTGGCTTAAAACTCACACCGTGCGTGTGGGCGTGTGTGCGTGCGTGCCCAAGATCCTGAGAGGAGATTGGAGGAAAAGGGATTGCAGCGTGACCATCCCCCCTGGGGGATAATTTCTTGCTTTCTGTCTCTATGTCTCTCTCTGTCTGTCTGGTGAGTGCACGCGCCCTATAGCGAAAACCTCTCAAAAAAAAAAAAAAAAAAAAGAAAGAAAGAAAAGAAAACTGGCAGGGGTTTCACTCTCCCTCAAAGAGCCATCTTGTTGGGAACACATGAAAGAAAGTTGTCCTGGGACCAGCAGTTAGCATGATGGCTATGTCACTGGACTCCCATGTAGTCTACCACGGTTCAAGTCCCAGATCCGCTGGCTTCCACTCACACCGGGCATGTGTGCGTGCGTGCCCAAGATCCTGAGAGGAGAATGGAAGAGAAGGGATTGTGGCATGGCCATCACCCCTGGGGGGTGATTTCTTGCTTTCTGTCTCTCTGTCCCTCTTTCTGGTGAGCGCACGTGCCCTATAGCAAAAAACCTCTCCAAGAAAGAAAGAGAGTTGTTCTAAGGCCACAGCTGTGTCCCAGACTGTCTGGGAAAATTCTGACTCTTAGATGAACCCCTTCATCATGAGCTTAAACTTTGAATCTAAACCCTCAAACTAAAATTGGTGCAGCACTGTTTTCTGATGGGGGGCTTCACTGGGCTTGGTGGAATAGACCCCCAAACATTTTATCTATCTTAATGGTACAATATAGTAATGTTAAATATATTCTCTTTTGTGTAAACAAATCTCTAGAACTTTTGCATTCTGTAGAACTGAAACGCTATATCCATTGAGTATCAACTCCCTAGTTCTCTCTCCCTCCAGCCTCTGGAGCACACCATATCATTGATTTTTTTTTTTTTTTTTTTGGAGAGGTTTTTCTGCTATAGGATGCGTGAGTTCACCAGAAAGACAGAGAGACAGAAAGTGAGAAGTTATTCCCCTGGGGGGATGACCACACCACAATCCCTTCTCCTCCATTCTCCTCGCGGGATCGTGGGCACACACACGTGCCCAGCGTGAGTTTAAGCCACCGGGTCCGAGACTTGAACTGCAGTCGACTACATGGGAGTCCAGCGACATAGCCATTACGCTAACTGCTAGTCCCTGATTTTTTTTTTCCCTTAAGAAGGCTGGTAGGAACACAAGTATTCAACATATTATTCTTTGAATGACTAATGTGTTTTATAGTCAATTACAAACAGAAAATAAAAGATTTATCTAGAAAAAAAGGCATCATCGGGACTAGCAGATGGCATAATGGTTATGTTGCTGGACTCTCACATAGTCAACTGTGGTTTGAGTTCCTGACCTGGCAGCTTAAAACTTATACCAGGCACGAGTGTGTGCATGCCTAAAATCCTGAGAAGAGAATAGAAGAGATTGTGGTATGGCCATTCCCCCGAGGGATGATTTTCTCTTTCTCTTCAGAGAGCAACATGTCCTATAGCAAAAATCTTTCTCTAAAAAACCCCCCAAAACTAAAAACAAACAAACAAAAATCATGAAGCCAGCAGGTGGTATGGAGGTTAAAGTGTTGCACTCCCTCATGACTGTCAGCTGTTTGAGTCCTAGACCCGGTGGTTTAAAAATCACTCCGGGAATGTATGCAAATATGTCTAAAATCTTGAGAGGAGAATGGAGGAGAAGAGATTGTGGCATGGCCATGCTCCCTGTGAAGCAGGCATGACTCCATCCTGGAGGAGCGCCTCCAAGAGAAGTGGGGAATGAAGCAGGAGCGACTCCATCTTGGAGGAGCACCTCCTTTATGAACTGTTTGTCTAATAGTAAATAGAGTGATTAACATTTCTATTGTCCTTAACACTCCACTTCTCCCAGTTGCCTTAAGATAAGGTCCAGTCACTGGACCTTGCCTGGAGCCATAAAGACTATTGAGATTCTTTTATGTTTGGGTAAAGATAGAACATACCCTTAGGGATGATTAACCTGCTTGTTCTGCCTCTGTGATGCGCTTTTGCTTGCTTTTGCATTGTAAAACCCTACCCCCACCCTTTCAAACCCTCTGCTCTTTGTCCTTGTGAATCCTCACATCATCCTGGACATGATTGTGCATTTTTGGCCTATATAAGCTTCTTTTTCCTTTCACTCAGGTTGTGGGGTTTTGAGAGATAAGAGTCCCCCCCACCCCCGCCCCATGCTGCTGGCTTAATCAATAAACTCCAATAAATTTGACTATGTCTGGATGTCCTCTTATTTTTCGCTGAGTAGACTATAACATTTGGAGGCCCCAGAGAGATCCGTACCTGTCTGGTACGTGAGTGAGGCATGCTAAGGAGAGCGTCATTGCTTGGTCCGGAGACTGCTCTAGGGGAGGCGCCACCTGGAACTTCCCAGGGCCCCAGAAATCTTCTCAGGATTGTTGACAGCCGACAAGAGAGGCTGATTGCTCCTCCAAAAAGATTGTGGAGTTTTAATACAAGACCTCCGGAGTCATTTCTTTGGGTGTTCCTGTCCTATCCTGTCCTGTTCTTTGGACCCTCTTAGAAGACAAACCGGTAGGTACGGGGTTGGCAGTGGGCCCCTGCCAGGCTGCTGGATCTCAGGTGGCTAATCAGGGGGGCCTTCTGAAGTCCAACCTGCTTTGCAGATGATGAAGAGTCAAAAGGCCCCCTGAAGTCCGACCTGCTGGATTGCAGGTGGTTAGGCAGGGCTGCTCCCTGAAGTCCAACCTGTTGAGAGATCAGTCGAGACCAGGGTTAAAGGTCCCTGTCAGGGGTTGACTCCCAAGACGTTTCGGAAATCCCTCCACAGGTAGCTGGATTCAGGGCTCCAGACGCGGTTATAAAACTCCCTATTTAGGTTCCACCAGACGCGCTTGGGATCCGGGGGCCAAAGGTCTGGACCTTTGATGGTTTAGAAAAAATCGGGCTTTGAATCCATAAAAATTTCGAGATGGGTTTCTTCTGCTTGTTCTGTCATTTTACTTATTTATCTCTGCACCCTCTTGGAGAATATTACTTGGTTCTATCTGTCTTCTTCAGTGGAGGATATTGAACAATGGGTTACTGACCTCACGGACCAAGGGGTTCTTCCAGAGTTCCATTCTGACAAGGTCAAAGTGTTTGTTTCCTTTCTTGTCTTAATTGTAAATTATGGGAGGCAAAAATAGCTCTCTCAAGACTTCCCTTAGCTGCATGCTACACCACTTTGATGAGGCCTTTGTAGAAGGATGTGATTATGGTGGGTAACTTTCAAAAAGAGGTTGAGAACCCTGTTGAAGTTGAATGGCCCACTTTTGGGGTGGAATGGCCCGAAAGGAAATACAAGCTGTTTAGAAAGTTGCCACAGGAGAATTGGGTGGACCTGGACATCTTGACCAACAGCTGTAGTCCAGCGGCCCTGACCCTGGTTGAGAAATTGTGCTTTAAAAACAAGAAACTATAGGGCCAGCGAATGGTGTAGTAGTTCAGTTGCTGGACTCCCACATGGCCAACCACAGTTTGAGTCCTGAGCCTGGCAGCTTTCTTTCTCACTCACTCGCTCTCACTGTCTCTCTTTCTCTTCTCTCGCTCTCAGGTTAAGTTTAAAACATAATAAAATAAAATAAAACAACTATTAAAAAACAAACAAACAAACAAGACACTATATTCTTGTAATTAGCCCACAGAAAGAGCCTCAGCAAAGAGAACAAAAGCTCCCTATCCTGCAGTCTGATCCTGAGGAGTCCATCTTCCTCCCTCTAAAGCCCTAGCAGGCATCAGCCTAGGGAGGGCAAGGAGAGGCCACACGAGTCAGCCTCCTTGGCCCCCATCTCACTTCCCTACACCTGAGTAGATCTAGGGAAATGAGGGAGGCTCAAAGCCCCAATTCCTCAGAAGCCATGTTGCCCTTAAGGGAAGCACTCCCAACCCTACAGAGGGAGGTTAATTCGTAATTATGGTATCAAACTCTCCGTCCTAAAACTAAAAGGGCCTTTTAAAAAATCACACTTAAAAGGGGTAAAAATATAAAAAATATTTGTGTTGTAAAAACTCTATAATGGTATAAGCAACAAAAAGTTAAATTTCCACCATCCTTAAGTATATAATTAAAAATTTCAAAAAAAGGGGTTACTCAATGAGTATCAATGTTAAAGTAACCCCGGGGAAATTGGCTCTTGTAATCCTGATGTGTGTGAGCATCTATGCATGTAATATGTCATGTTGTGTACTACATATTGTATGTCTGTGTAAAAAAAAGGGGGGCCTTAAAGTATTCTATTCAATTTGGTTTATAAAAAGAGTGCTCATAGGAATTGGTTTAAATGTTTCTCAAGGTCATATAACTTTAGTGAATAAGGTGGCTTCAAATGTAATAAAAAATATTA